TAAAAAGCAGCCAACCGGAAAAGACTACATACTGTGTAACATTCTTGAAAAAGCAGGGCTATGGAGATAGTAAAAAGATCAGTGGTTCCCACGGGTTGGTGGGGAGGGAGGGATGAACAGAAGGAGCACAAAGGATTTTTAGGTCTCATCTTGTGATACTATGAATTAGGGATAGTTGTTACTGTATACTTTTCAAAACCCTCTGGAATGTACAAAATCATTTATACCTAATGTAAACTATGGACTTCCGGTGATAACGATGTGTCAGTGTAGGTTCACAGATTATAACAAAGGTACCACTCTGGTGCCATATGCTGATAATAGGGGAGGCTGTGCATGTGTGGGGGACAGGAGGTATATGGGAACTCTCTGTACTTTCACTGTGAACCTAAAACTGCTCTAAAAAATAAATTCTATTTCTAAAAAAGGTATAGTAACACTTTAGTTGGTTTTCAACATCTAGTCTGAAACTGCTTAGGGAAAGGATTAATATATACCCATCGCTATAAAGAAAGTATTACAGCTAAATTGAATATGCAGTGGCTTTATCCTTCCTTTTTTTCTTTTCTTCTTTTTTTATATCTTTATTGATTTCAGAGAGAGGAAGGGAGAGGGAGAGAAAGAGAGAGAGAAACATCAATGATGAGAGTCATTGATCGGCTGCCTCCTGCACACCCCCGACTGGGGATCGAGCCCGCAACCCGGGCATGTGCCCTGACAGGGAATCGAACCCCGATCTCCTGGATCCTAGGTTGACGCTCAACCACTGAGCCACGCCCGGCTGGGCTATCCTTCATTTTAAAGATAAATAAAAAAGGGAAATACAAGTAGTCTCAGTACAGTTGGAACATTTCTAAAACTCGCTCAGAGCTTCTATTCATACAAATTCTTATATTTGGGAGTGAGTCATTAGATACAGGTATGATGCACAGTTGTTAAATGTACTCAAAAGTTTAAGAACAGAGTAGAATATGACAATTAGAAATGATACTTAGAATATATTTGATCAAAGCCCCTTGTTTATAAGGAGACTGAGAAAAAGAACTGCAGGCTTGCCCTGGCCCCACAGTTTCAATGGCAGGACTGGAACCCTGGTGGTCTCAAGTTAATGGCTGCTTCTCCATTACATAACTACCCTTCAAGAAAACAAAGCTGCGATAAAGTTCTCAAAATTCAGAGATGCTATTATTTTCTTCTCCATTTATTTATTTCTGCAAAAGGACATGAATCCAATTAGTATATTTCTTTGGCTGATAAGCCTCACTCAGGCTCTGCCCATTTACTCACTTATTCTGCCCACTTGGTTTTTCCCAGAGGTCATTTAAAAAGAAAATCATGTTTTAAGAATGCAAACAGCCAAAGGAAATGTTTTTTTCCCCCCTGAAAGTGAACATAAAACACACGTGTTTATTACTAAGCGAAAGCTATGCTCCCCACCCCACCACTGTAAGTGAGAATTTAGACTCTTGTTCAGCCTCTTAGAGGTAAAAAATCTGCCCTTGGTGGGAGCAGCTATGACTCTTGAAAGAAGCTACAAATAACATGCTGGGAAATTCAGCAGGCACTGCTATTATATCCTGTTTATACTGTCATTTTTCCTATCAGTAGGATATTATTTATACAGACCCCACCCATGAACTTCTTGTTTATCTTATTATAGATATCCTCTGAAACTATAAAAAGAAGCCTCTGCATTTGTTTCTGGAACATGCACATGGGTTATAATTTTGCACCTCAATACACTTTTTTATTTAGCATTTTCTTTTGTTATGTACCACTTTTTCTCCTTTTTATCTCAGGGTTGACTTATTTCATATATTAGAGTTGAACTTTACTGACTTGAAGAGACTCTGTTACAGGACAGAGATTCCAGACAACCACATCCTTAACTTTATTTGGGGGTAGATTCTACCAGATAGAGTCTTCAAAGATACAATTGAGTTATTTGTTTAAAGACAGAAAAATGTGCCTATGTACTGACCAAGTTCCCTAGTAAGTAAGTCCTGCATGCCTAGAAGGCTGCCTCACTCAGGCTACTCTATCCCAGGTGGGCCAATTACAAGGGGCAAGCTTTACATTAATTCTCAATTACTCCATCTCTTTTCTGGAATGAAAAGCCCTGCCCCTGAGTCCAGCTTGATGACTAGATGGTCTGGAAGAAAATGTAGCACAACAGCACATGAGGAATACATGAATTCAGAAAGTTGACCAATGAGACAATAAACCACCTGGTTATAAATAATCCTCACTTCCTGGCCTTATGTAAATAATTGAACTGAAGTAGATAAAAGAAAATTGTGAGTTCCTTAAGGGCAGAAATTCATGCAGCGTTTGTTGAGAAAATGATTATTTCTGGAAAGGGAACATCACTGTACAAAGTTATACTGGATAAACTTTCGCATGTACAGCTGTTAGCTTCACCAATACTCGCTTTGCCCTATAAGGCAGCACTACAGGCAGCTAGGTAAACATGAAATCTTCAGAGAGCACATACAAGGCTAGACTCTTTGGGGATATGTAAGACAGATCGCTGCTTTTAAAGAACATTACTCTAAAATGTGTAACTGAAATGAGGCTTAGTATCTCAGGGTAGTGAACTAAGTCTAATTAATTTCAGAATAAGAGAGGTCCATAAGGGCTAAAGTGACCAAAGAACGCAGAATAAGGATAGTGACTGAGGTCATCTGATAAAGGAGGAATTGATAAGGCCGAGGTGAGATGGTGAAAGGCATCCTAGTCTCCACCAACGATCTGGGAGTAGCCAGGTAAGCAGAATTCTGGAAATTGCGAGTAGTTAATTCAGCTAGGGAGTATACTGAATAGAAGATGACAATAAAAAGAAGGCTGGAGTCAAATTATGAGTTTCATTTTTCAATCAAAGATATCTGATCAAGGGAAAATGAACCCAAGCTTTCAAACTATGAATGAAGAGGAGGAAGAGTAAGTTGGGGTGAGGCTGAAATGGGGGAAGATTTTAACAGTACCAGATCCTATAATTACAGCAGCCTAAGAAAGGTCCAAGTGATATAACGATAATAAATGTGTAAAAATATTATCAATTCTTGCTTTCATAAGCAGAAGATGGCATCATGATGACTATTACTGAGTGAGGCAATGCTAAACAATGCCAATCCATTGAAGTTAATGTCAGGAAAGCTTACCAGTCTCCTAAAACAGTACTTCTCAAACCCTAATCACCTGGGGATCTAGTTAAAATGTAAATTCTGATTCACGTTTAGGGTGGTGCTCTCAATCTTTGCATTTCTAACAAGCTCCCAATACTGCTGTTCCACAGACTACATTTTAGGTAGCAAGATGCTAAAACCTCTGTTTCCCTTTCCAAAAAGGCAATATTTGATATACTATGTTTAATCCATTATGGTTTATCTAATGCTTTTACATATGCCTAGAAAATTCCTTTTAAAGGTATTTTATTATAATTTGCATCAATGCTGAATTGGTTTCCAAAGCTACTATTTTAAAAGTCCAAGATGACTCAAGATTCAGGGTATTTAAGATACTTGGAAATATTTCCATCTGGACAAAATCAACTTTACAATGCTGTTCTATAACACTGTAATTTTGTCATTCTTTTCAGTCTGGCAAACTAGAAGATGTTATTGCCTCTAATTTGGGGGCTAATGTAAAAGCCCTGAAAGATAGTTACTCCATCTTTTCATAGTGCACAGCACTGGGCTTTGGCAAAACTCACTTAACTTGCCCTTAGTCTGCCCTTACCACCATTTCTTAATCCTTGAAAATAAAGATAACAACTTATTTTAAATATCCTACTGAAAAACACCTGAAGATTACAAAAATTAAATTCACACACCATCCTTCTGTTTAAGATTTCTATGCAAAAGGATATGCCTTTAATTAAAGTATTTTACAATAAACTGTCATTTTAAAAACTATGTTACTAGTGTAATATATTACACAAGCACGCGCGCGCGCACACGTACTAAAATTGGCTGACCTTAGGTTCTTGGGACAAAATTTAAGACTTCTAAAATCTCGTTTCATTTTTAACCAAATTAATGTTCAATAACAATCTTTTAGATAAATTGTCTTCAATATGTATCAATGTCAGAGTACATAATATCTTAAAATTGGAAGGTATTGTTGAAAATCACATCCATCTATTTCATTGAAGAGGTAAGAAACTGAGGCACAGAGGCTAAAAAGGCCAAAGTCATGTAGCTGCTACTGGCATGTTAAAAAAAGAAGGGGGAGGAACAAATTAATTTTCACATCTGTCAATGTACAAGGCATAACGATGAATTAACTACAAAATGTAGTTGAAAGAGTTTCTGGTTCCTCTAATGACTAAGGCATAGTTGGTTTTATAAATCACTGATACTGAAGAAAGGAACACTTCATACCAACAAAGACATGCTACCCAAATTTAATAACTTTATAAAAAATGCAAACTGAATAGAGAATGACACATATACACCATATAGTTGGGATGGGGCTGCGGTGGGGTGGGTAATGGGATGGGATATAAACAAAGAGAAGACAATGGTAACTCATCTTCTCAGTAATGGTTTGAGAAAAGCTTTCACATACAGAAAAGTGGTTTAAAAAACACAACTTCCTTTTCTCTCATGGGTCGTTTTTTAATTGGTAAAATCGAGGATTAGATTTGGAGGACTGCAAAGCTTTGAAATATATCAAATGTAGGTAGCAGTTGGATGTGCATGTGTCATGAGCTCTGTCACAGTTACAAGAAAACCAGAGAACCCTTTTTTAGCAATAAAATATGGAATTTTGTGCTTTTTACAAATGCTATTAAAATTTACTAGCGCAAGCTTTTAAAAAAATCACTGGTGAAGTTCCATGATGTCGGAGACAATGGGTTTTAAATCACTGGCATACATTATTATGCCTAAGTTGACAGATCTGCACTGCAATGCAGAAATGCGAGCAATAATCCAACATCTGCACCAGAAGGCAGAGACCAGACATGATTCCAGAATAAAGGGCTCTTCAGCTCTTACCTGTTACCTGTGCAACAACTGCTTGGGAAATCCTCCGATTGGCAAGAAAGGCTTTGATTTCCTCTTTTATCACACTGCTGTCCCTCCTAACAAAAACAGAAGACAAGACCAACAATGTATGTTGAAGGTAGAAATCCTCATCTTTGCTAAGAAAGGTGAAGCAGAGAGGTGGGGAGAACATAGAAAGAAAGGACACAAAAATAAAGGTAAATGGACCAAGTTTGTGTGAAACATGAAATTAAAAGAAACCAAGAAACGCCAAATATTCAAGTCCTAAAACACCACACCACGAGACAGACGCTTTTGTGAATGCCACAGCAGATACAAGTTTCGTACCAGAGGATGGCTAATCGCATGCTGTGAATAATTCACATTAGGAACAAGGCTGCCATATGGTAGACACTAAGTCTCATTACTGTGGGATGAATCTATCCTACAGATAGAAAATCCTAGAAAAATAAAAAGCAACAACAACAGCAAAAATCAGTTGTGAGTAGATTGTGGGTTCGCATGTTAACTATGCAACTGCATAAATAAGGTGCAGTTCATTCTAAAAGCTTTGCTAAAGAATAGAAATCATCATCATTCTCACAACTGCTAAAATATTAGCCATTTTAAGAAAGGCTTTGCATTTTAATTTGCATTCTTTTCCTGTATAAACCAAAAAAATTTTAAGTGGCATGGGTTGCATATAGAATTTTAATATAAAAAGGCACTTAATTTCCTATTACATGTATTATACAGGACACTTAATACTTAAACCTTCATTATTTCCTGCATCCTTAGGATCACAAATTATAGATCTAATTTTTCCTCCACTAAGATGCCTTAACAATTTTTACTTATTTAAAAATTCAACAAATTCTCAAAAGACTACACATTCACTGGAGTAACAATGAATGGCAAGACTTCTTTTTCTCCGCCAGATAAGAGTATGTAAATAAAAATTATACTTAAAACTGACCAATTTCTCTCTGAAAGTTTTGTGTACAAGAAGATAACATAAGTAGAGCACTGATTTTTGTTGAAGGCCCAAAGTAACATAGAACAGTGGTAACTTCTCATCTAATACAGGAGTCAGCAAGCTATGGCCTCTGGGCTAAGTATGACCTCCCACCTTTTTTCATACAACCTATAAACTAAAAATGGTTTACATAGATGAACATTTGTAATCAATTTAATGGCAGGAAAACACTATCTTTAAACTTGAATTAAGGCAAAATATTATCCCCTCCCCAATTCTATTTTTCTCACTAGTAGGCTTGAATTTTTAAAATTGTATTTAATTATTATCCCATGTTGAGTTTTGTCAATAAGAATGTATGCCCATTTGTTTTCTCTCTTTTGTGTAAGTTATCTATATTATATCCTCAATTTTGCCTCCTGTCCACTAAGTCTAAATGTTTACCATCTAGCTCTTACAGAAAGTTTGCTCTCTTGATAAGACAAAGGGATCATGACAACTTTACAAATCATTTTGTGAATGAATCACAAACCCTGCATAGGAGCTCAAGTCTTTCTACACATTATTTGGAGAAACAAAAGTACCCTTTCCAAAAAGAATCAGGTGTGATTTAATCTAGAGCAGATATTTCAGCCCCTTGGTGAGGAGGGGCTGTACACTCTATTAGCGGATTCCATGCTCCCTTTCAGGAATTCTGGAAAAGAACAGAGAAGTGACAGTGGAGACGGCTTCCAATCTGGAGCTGTACTGTATATTCCTGATCTACTGGTTGGAAATCCTAATCAAAGATTCCTAAAGGAAGAAAATAAAGAGTCAGCCACCTAATCCAATATCGAAAATTTCTCATACTGATTGAGATAATGACTAGACTCCTTCCAAAATGCTTGTTTATATTTGAAATATTTCCTTGAAAAATGTGCATTCTCATTTTATTTGAAAATTGTGCATTTGACAGAAAAGGCACAAATAAATAATTTTAAGTCAAACAGGACAACAAACTGCTAAGTAAAATACAGATAATGTAGAATAAGCAGCTCTCAAATATCCACCAATAATCAGGTGAGCAAGAGATAACTTCAGCAGTATCTATTTCAACTGGCTGATGTATATAAAACCACCAAATCATTTGGTTTTTGCAAAATTAATGTAAAATTTTTTTAAATAAAGCTTTGCATTTCACTGTATAGAGTGTCCTTCTTGTAAAATAAAACCTGAGTTTAAGAAAATATTAAGGTAAATTTTTTAAAATGAGCTTTTGTGGGGAAAAACGACTAAATAAGATTTTCTTGACCACTGATTTAAACTGGAATTTAAATAGATTTATTTTAAATCTAACTAACTTAGAGTAAACACTAAATTATATAGAGGAGATAACACTCAATTATTCCAATGGGGACTATCCAGTTTGTGACTTATTCACAGTCTTGCAGTATATTATCAAGAACGGCAGCAAGACAGCAGCAATTCACTTACACCCTCAAAGGCTATACTTTTAGGCAATTGGCAAGTTTCTAAGTACCCACAATGAGTCTTTAAAAATCTCTTTATTCAACTGCTTTACCAGAGAGAATCTTTTTTGAATTGAAAAACAATTTAAGACTTGAAAGATAAGGGTGTGCTTGGGCAAGTCACTTAATAAACCTGGGCCCGGGTTTCATTATCCCATAAAAGGAGAACATTAATACACTCGTCACAAAGCTTTTAAAATTTTTCTCCAAACACTGAAATTAAACTTAAATGAAATTTAATACTAAATGTAAAACATGAAATAAAAATTTTTTCAATGTAAACATTTTTGAAACTGTAAACATACTACATGAACAATGACTATTAATTTATAAAACCTCAGAAAGAATCCCAGGAAGAGAACAAATGATCTGCTCTAACTATATAAGACTGAATCAAACATCTGCATTAAGTACTTTAAGGCACCGTGGAAAGTTTTCTAGAAAGTCACATTAGACACAAGCAGTGATATGGCATTCAGTTAGTTTTACTAGGTACCTTCAAAATAGCAACAGCATTCAATTTTCTGTGTGTCCAATTCTCTTAAGTATTTCAAAGACTTCCCTTCTACTGGGTTGCCTTTGCTCTTTAAACTTTCGCATATTCCCCTTCATTTCCTCCTCATTCGGCCTTCTTTAACAATCTGCCTCTCTTACTGTACACATTTGTACCCTGTGAAATCACCAGTCTCTTGGTGTAAAAACTCATTTACTCCAAATCTAATTCTTTCATTTTCTCCTCCTTATCTCCCCTCTTCATCTGAAATTTGACATCCTCTTTAAAGAGAATAAATCCCTTTTCCTCCCTTGTCTTATAAAATCTCACTCCTCATGATTTCTACTCCTCATGATTTTCTATTCCTTGTGGAATTAAAGTCAAATGTAGGCTGAGCTTTCTTTGATTCCATAGTTTACTTCCAAGAGGAGCTACCACTCTATTTGCATCTAACCACTTGAGATCCCTGTCATCTCCTCCTACTGCCTTTTCCAAACACAGTCAAGCTGGATTCATCTATCTGGGTGATTTCCCACATGTTAATAAAATTATTCCTGTCCACCCTCCATTGCCATTATTTTTATAACTTGCTAAACTTTCCATTGTTATCTAGAGACCTTAATATCTGAATGAATTCATCAGTAATGCCTCTTTGAAATCACCCTATTTAAAGACACAATTTGATTGTTATCTATTCAGAGTTCTCCCTGACCCTCAGAGCAAAAAAAGATCCTTTCTTCCAAAAGCATGTTAATATTTCAATTATACTACCCACCTGTTAATATGTTACATGCCATTCTGTATTAAGGTTGTTTCTGAGCTGGTCTTCTCTCTCTTACTAGCCTGTAAAGTCCTTTAGCACAAAGATTGTCTTATTCACCATAGGGTTTGCCTATAATAGAGCTCAATTTGTTCAATGAATGAACAAATCTGTAGTTGAAGATAAAAGGCTGTAAAATGGAAAACCTGACCTAGATAATTTATAAAACAGTTTTAAATTCTTATTCTTATATATGCTTCAACTTCCAAACCAGAATGGAAAAAGAGTTATTTATGTTAGCTCAAAATGACAATAATTTCTTTTCTAGAACAAAGAATATTAAAGAATGCATGTTTAACAGTGGAATGCTTTGAGATCTTCCATAGTCTCTTGTTTGATACACACTACACATTCTTTAGGACCTACCTCTTAAAAGTCATCGTTTTAAATTTTTTACTGAATTTATTGGGGTGACACTGGTTAATATTATAGGTAGTCTTTTATCTCAAAGATTTCCAGAGATGGCAGACAAACTATTCCACAGGTAGAAAAATATAATTGCATACAAATTCTTTCATGTTTAAATAAAAACCCATTCCCTTTCATTTCCATCCATGGAGATAAACAAAGCATATTTTAAAGTGTTTTAAAGATAACTTTGAAAGAAAAGCTACTCTATACATATAAACAATATGGTAACTGATTATGACTTATGGTACATAAGTACCCTACCTACACAAGTAAATACCCCAGTTAGGGCTATAGGTAAACAACTCGGAAGAAAGTCTCAGAATCTTGTATAAAATGCTAACATACATTATTATAACACTAAACTCATTTCAATTGTTATTTTAAAATATATAGACAACAGAACAGATATTTTAATAGATGTACACTGATATTAAAAGATATACACCTACATATAACTATATATATTAATAGATACATTTAAAAAATATTAACATGTGAAATGGGTCGTCAATCTAAAGCTAAGAGCTTTAAAGTCCTTCCTAAAACGTTATATTCAATGCTCTGCTGAGAATTCTAGTTTTCCTTTCAAGTTTTCTACCCTGATCAATTCAAAAATGGAAAAAGTTCCTTTCTTTTTTATTTTTTAACAAGCTGATCAGGCGTTGCTATAATTTACTCAATTTCTACAAAAAAAATTCCTTTATGTACCTTAAAATTATTAAAAGTGTTGACGCAATGGGTTATGAAATTTGAAAAATATATCTTATAATCGAGTGCTATGGAAGTTGGGCAATGTTGAATGTGCAAGAAGTGAATTATACAGGGTGGGGCAAAGTAGGTTTACAGTTGTTTGTATGGAAAGTAATACAATTAATAAATAATACTACAAGAATAAATTCCGTGTTTCCCGTAATCAACAACTGTAAACCTACTTTTGTCCAACCCCGTATATAATATATGTAGAAATGGAGGCAGGAAGGCATTCGGGTACCGAGTACCTATTCTCCCCACCTAGAGACGACCACCAAATTCAATCCACTATAATATCAACACAGTGTTGAGAGATCAGCAAGGGCAGTGTACCCCTACATGAGCACAGGACACTCAGAAAGATCCACGGCTTAAAAATTTCTCTAACATTCTACCAAATAAAAATTCATTTGGTTAGGAAGTAGCAAATGTCACAGGAGTTGAGAGGGAGGACTTAGCCCATTAAGGCATTCGCACTTTGTCTTAAGTTACATCAACCACTGTTCCTAAAATCTTGTTGAAATCAACAGACATAAAAAATTTATTTACAGAGGCAACAGATAAAAGTGGCACATTGGTAATAAAGACATGAATTAGAATTCACGCTCTACCACCTAAAATTTACATTTTCTTGATCCCATTATTTAATTTTTGTGGATCTCAACTTCTCTGCTCCACCTCACAGCATGGTTGTAATGATTAAAGTGAGAGCAGTCATGCAATAAACTTCTCCCTCCAACCTAAGGATTGTTATTATCATCAAACTTAAGAAAAATGAGGGGTGGGCACAAAAGAAGAATGTAGGTGTGGGTAAGGGTACAATGGCAGAGGACCACAGAGAGCCAGAAGGTCCAATGAAACGCCAAAATGATTAGAGGACACCAAAGTAGTTAGTTCTAAGAAACTGAAGCTAAGATAAGGAAGAAGATAGTGTCCTAACTATGCAACAAAGTGGCAGTATGTAAATTAAATATTAATAACAATATATAAACATGTATGTATCTACTGATGAAAATTGAATGTATGTAACTGCAGGATTTAAGTACAAATCCTTGTCATTGCTAAATAGGTTTTCTGTTTATTTTAAAGACATAGTTGAACTACAGTATTATGTCAACCTAAGAGCTAATAATGAAGTTTAGACCTTGGCCAATCTTCCAGAGTCTTTTGTTAAAACAAAAGTTTTCCCAAACTTCTTGTTAGTTTAATACACGTTTGGGAATTAAATGTTATGTCAAAAGTTTATTCAAAACAATTAACAGCAGCAGCAACATAAAGCAGGCTAGCATCCTCACAAATAAACTTTATTGCTGATATCCTCTCTACTCAGGATAAAAGCTAACCTCCTTATATTTCAATGACTGAAGCAATTTTATTTGCCCAAATGATTATCTCTCTTAATCTTAACAACAATATATGTTAAATTCGAAAAGAACATGTGAACTTTGGCTTGCTGTTTTAATAAGTGAAAATGAACCCAAAGTCAAACTGATCTCATATATTTTTAAGTTTCAAAAGCCTAAATAATAGGGTCATATATTCTATGAAACTATTCATTTGAGGAATTACGTTGGAATCTAGATACAATAGTCTATTTAATCCAGTATTCCACGTAGGCAGTTCCATCTTGAAAATAAGTTCAGGACAGTTTGTTTAAAAGATACTACACCATTGTGGTACCACCCGACAGAGATTCCATATGGCAATATTAAGTCACCATTATACTATCTTCAGGTCTTAAAATCTTTAGGGAGAACTGTAACTCACAATTACAGGCTTTAATTTTATTTCTGACAAAGTCCTGTAGAGCTTCTTTCATTATGTACTGTACTATTCTATCTGCAGTACAGGCATACCTCAGAGATATTGTGGGTTCAGTTCCTGACCACCACAACGAAGCAAATATCGCAATAAAATGAATGTTTTGGTTTCCCAGTACACATAAAAGTTAAGTTTACACTATACTGCAGTCTATTAAGTGTACATACCTTAATTTAAAAATGCTTTACTGGCCGGCCGGGCGTGGCTCAGCAGCTGAGCATCGGCCTAGGATCCAGGAGATTGCAGTTTGATTCCCGGTCAGGGCGCATACCCAGCTTGCGGGCTCGATCCCCAATGACCGACTCATCATTGATGTTTCTATCTCCCTCTCCCTCTTTCTCTCCCTCTCCCTTCCTCTCTCTGAAATCAATAAAGATATTGTTTTTTTAAAAAAAGAACCCTTAAAAAATAAAATAAATAAATAAAATAAAAATGCTTTACTGCTAAAATATGCTAACCATCATCTGAGCCTTCAGTCACTCATAATCTTTTTGCTGGTGGAAGGTCCTGCCTGGATGTTGATGAAAATACAGTATCTGCTAAGTGCAATAAAATGAGGAGGTATGCCTGTAGCAATAATCTACTTAAAACAATGCTTTTATCATCTCTATTCCTAAATATCTATAAAAATGCCTTAACTCCAACCAAATTAGCCATATTTGTATGGAATCCAAATCTTCCAAAACCTGTACTGCCAAATATACTATTCCTATTACCAAAGTTGAACTCACCTACAGTCCTTTTAAGACAAAACACATCTTGCCTATTCTACCTTTTATTATTCCCTTAACTTTAAGGTTAGTATATTTCAAAAAAGAGGCTAACTTTTAAGGTTTAGCTCAAATTCATCCATTCACTTAACATGTTATGCCCTTACCACGTGACAAGGACAGTTCAGATCCCAGAGACACAACAATTGAAAACACATGGTTGCTGTCCTCAAAGTGTCCCAGGTCCAGTGTGAAGCCATCCCTAACTGCCTCTGTTGAAAGTGAACTACTTCTTTTCTCAAGTATTTAAACCCTAAGTGCTTAATAAAAGATAACACTAAACATATACATGTGGCAACTATTGCTAAAACTAGAACTTTAGCTTCTTAGGCATAGAAACCATCTTTTTCTTCCTAAGAACACAACTTTTTATACAAGAGGTGCTTAAAATTATTTTCTTGATTGGTATGTTGGAGGGAATAATTGAAACTACATTTATCATGATAAAATCACCTTATCTCTTAGAAAAAGTACTTACAATAAATTAAGGAATAGAATGTGCCTGTTAGCAATGCTGAAAATTCAGATATTAGCAATTACAGCCATAAAGACAAGGCTAACCTTTGCTTTGATAAACAGAATGGAAAAGGCTTATTAAGCAGCAAAGTGAAAGGGTTGAAGTGGAAAAGAGAAAATTTGAATTAAAAACATAAAATTTGAATTTTTCTTTCATCTCCAAAGTGGGCAGGGGGAAATCACAGTTCTTATAAGTAAGTAGCTGAAATACAGTTTATTACTCAAAAACAATCTAAGAACACAGACATTTTGGGGACTCTGAATAAGCAAAGGAACCAACCTCATTAATTCCTCCACTTTATCATCTACATCTAGGTCCTCTTCTGAGGCTTCAAAACTGTATGACCTCTGACCCATGCTGTTTGCATGATAGCGAGTTGGTGACATCTTTCCATTGGATGTGGACAATCTCTCGTTATTCTCCCTCCCATTCTGATTGGTAGTGCAAGGCTGTGGGGAGGTATCATAACTGTTGCTAGGTGATGGGGACATTCCCGAATGCTGGGTCTGTGTGGAAGCTGTAGCTGTAGAGGAAGATGCTGGAACATTGTTGGTACTATTCCCATATGAACTTCCTCCATAGCTGGACCTCCTTCCAAACTTGTCACTATGCTCTTGATCAAGACGGTCCAAAGTTTCCAAGGCATGGAGGATTTCATGTTTAGTCATTCCAGTACGCCGAAGGCGCTGAAGGAGATCTATTTGTTCTATGGTAAATCTGGGTTCATCTGTATAGTGAGACATGGTTTCCAACAAACTAAAAAAATAAAAATTAAAAATAAATAAGAAATAGTTCCTTTATTTACAATATCCATCAAAAAACATATCACTATAGAGAATGCCCAGCAGAAGATGCTGGGCTTCTTCATGTAAAGTGTTTAGGACGTTACTATTATAATGACCCAAAATTTCACTTATGGCAGTAATACCTAAACAACAGATTACGTAAATACACTATTAAATCCAGGCTATGAAATTATTCATAGGTGGTTTTTCCATCTCAAATTTATTATTCTACATTACAGTATTAATAGAAATTTGCTGAAAAAATACTTTATATTATCTTGTTTAACTAAGTATCAACAAAACAGACCTAAGGACTCTAAAACTTCATTTATTGCAAACAATTTGATAAGCTAAACCCAAGCAAATACTAATAACCAGCAAAAATATTTAAATAGAAAAAAGAGGTACACAAAAAGACTTACTAAGCACCATTTCACCCCTCACTTAGTAATAGGCTTAGTAATGAAGCTACGCATTACTGTCATGAAGCAATGCATTACTCCTGTGTTTGTGGTGATAGTTATCATCATTTTAGAGCATACTCTTTCTACGTACAAAAATGTTTACTGTAAAACAGTATGCAGTATTATCATAGCAGCAGCCTCATACATCTCAAGTTTACCATGTCTCTCGACTGCAACATTTTCTCTTGTGCTGTTTTGTACAGTAACATGCTGTACAGACTTATAACCTAGGAGTACAGGCTATACCATAAAGCCTAGGCGTGTAGTAGGCTATACCATCTAGGTTTGTGTAAGTGCACTCTACAATGTTCATATAACAATGGAATCGCCTAACAACAAATTTCTCAGAATGTATCTCCATAGTTGGCACGTGACTGTTACAAGTTTAAGGGAGTTGTTGTATATCATTAAAAAACCCAACTTTCCTATTTAACATTTTTTAAGTGGTGATTTCTTGTATTTATATAGTTCTAGTGCCAAATAGTATACATAGGCTCTCAACTAAATGTTTGCTGATGGAAATAAATGTCAAGACATTTTCTCCCAGGTAAACATGTACTCTGGGCCAGTTCTCCTAAGCTACTGGAGATGTTTCTTCAACCCTTTATATTAAAAATGTATGTAGTTGGGGACGTGCAGGAGGCAGCTGATCAAGGACATCTTCATCAATGATGTTCCTGTCTCTCTCCCGCCCTCTTCCTTCCTCTCTTTGAAATCAATATATATTTTTTAAAAAATTTTCTAATTAATTAAACATTCACATCTAAGAAGGCATTGGACAAAAGTTTCATATAATGCAATCTCACCTAATCCTCACAACAACCTTCTGTGATAGATTTTCTTCAATTTTATACTGACTGACTGAGTGGTTTTGTACCTTGTAAAATTCTGATTAAGCAGCAGAAAAAAGACTTAAACATAGATCTTACTGACTCCAAAGTCATACATTGGTCTGCTTTCCAATATAGGTAGGACTTACTGGAATCATGTGATTTGGGATATAAGTCTTCAGTTAAAACCACTTAGAGAAAACCACTCTACTAACAGACTAGGGGTTCTAGTAATAGTTTTTTATATTTAAACTCTTTGTTTCATCTAGAATTTATATTTACTTAATGATGTGAAAAGATTTGAGCTTTATTTCCCCAAAAGGATAGCTGGTTGTATCAATATGCTTTATTGAGTAATATGGCTCTTTTCTTGTGATCTGAAATACCACCTTTTTCATATACAATATTTCCACATAAACTGTATCTAACCTTTAGATTCTCTATTTTATTCCACTGGTTATTTTGTCTTTCAAATACTTTTTAAAATAAGCAGGCAGAAATCTAGAATTTTTATGTGAAACCACTCTAATTTTAGAGACAGGCTCATTAAAAATAAAAACATACACATTTTGTGGATCCAAAAGAACACATTTCAAGGCCACAGTATCTGCCTTATATCTATACACATTATCTTCTGCTTTCTTCAAAACTCATTTCTGACCAACTATCTATCATAAAAGTCCTTATTTTCATAATTATTTTTCTCGATGACCTAAGTTTTTTCCTCCAACTATTTTATAATAAAAAATTGTAAATATACAGACAAGTTGAAATATATTTACAGTGAACCCATATACTAACCACTTAGATTTTACCATTAACACTTTATCATATATCTATCCATTTCCTTATGCATCCATCCCACTATTCGTCTTATTTTTTGATGCATTTCAAAATCAGTTCTAGACATCTGTACGCTTCCCCATAAATATTTCCGCATGCATATCATTGACTAGAGTTCGGTTTGTTCAGGTGTTTTTTCTTTTGAGGTTGACTGTACATAAAAGAAAACACACAAATCTGTGTTTACCTTTCTATGAGTCTTGAGAAGTAGGTACATGTGAAATTCAAATCCCTATGGAGATATAGCATATTCCCATCACCCCAGGAAGTTCCCTCATTTTTCTTCCATGTCCCTTTCCTTCAGTGGCAACCACTGGTCAAATTTCCCCACCACCACCATCAATTAGTTTGGTCTGTTCTAGAAAATCATATAAATGGAATTTCTATGTACTCCTTCATGTAAGGCTACTTTCACTGAGCATAAAGTTTTTGAGATTTACATATAATGTTGTATGCATCAATAGTTTGTTCCCTTTTATTGTTGAGTCCACTCTACTTTAGACATTTGGACAATTTCCAATTATTAGCTATTCTAAATGCTTTGGCTATTATAATTGTATTCTACTAATTTTCTTAACTTAATATATCATCCCTATAATATACCATCACCTACCTGGTTGAGGGAGAAAACTTTCAACCAGAGTAACTAATTTACTTTTTCTTCTGACCAATTTCAAAAGAACAGTACACCTTGCTTAACACAAATGATCTGTTATTAAAATGTTCTGTGTTCTATGCTAGTTACATTACACAGGTGCATTCACTGTGAACGTTCACCAAGCTGTACACTACCGACCTGTGCATTTTTCATTAGATACATTATACTTAAAGTTTCGTGAAAAAACTATTAACATTTTCCTAATGGCTTATAAGAGACACTGAACACTTTAGATTCTATTTGTCTGCTCTATCAAGTGCTTAGGAGTACAGTAGTCCTCCTTTACCCATGGTTTTGCCTTCTGCTGTTTCAGTTACCCATGGTCAACCAATGCCTCAAATATTAAATGAAAAATACCATAAACAAACAATTCCTAAGTTTTAACCTATGCGTCATGAGTAGCATGATGAAATATTGCACAATCCTGCCCCATCCTGCCTGGGATGTGAATCATCCCTTTGTCCAGCATCTCCACACTTATAGGCTACCTACTTATTAGTCACTTAGTATCCATCTTAATTATCAGATGGACTGTCAGGTACTGCAGTGCTTGTATTCAGTTAACACTTATTTTACTTACTAATGGCCCCAAAGCTCGAGTAGTGATGCTGACACTTGGGAGATATCAAAAAAGCTGTAAAGTGCTTCCTTGAAGTGAAAAGGTGGTTGTCAACTTAATAGGAAAAAAGATTGTATGCTGAGGTTGCTACGATCTAGAGTAACAACCAATCTATCCATGAAACTGAAAGTAAAAGAAATTTGTGCTAATCCACTAAGAGAGACTACATTCACATAACTTTCACTATATTGTTACAAGTGTTTTACTTTATTTGCTTTGGTGCTAATCTCTTATTATACCTAATTTATAAATTAATCTTTTTCATAGGTATGTATATATAGGAAAAAAGAGTGTATATATATGTATTATCCGTAGTTTAGTACTACCCATAGTTTCAGGCATCCACTGGGGAACTTGGACCATATCCTTGTGGATAAAGGGGGAATGCTGTTTATTGATCCTTAATCCTAGTTATTTTAAAAAGTAGCTGCCAAATCCCTCTAGCAATCCAAATAATTTACCCCTTAATTTATTAATTTGATAAAATGAGGTATCTATAAATTACTCTTTTCCCTTAAAAATGAAGGCTTGTCCATTGCTAACTTCAGTCTTCATGCTTTCAAAATACTTCATAAGGTGACCTGCCCTTACTTTCAAGAACTATTTTATATATACCAAAAAAACCCCACCAATCATAATACTGAAGGGGATCAAAGTTTTGCCACCTCAAAATGTACCTTTTGAGATACTGATTTTAAGGTGGTTACGAAGAAACAAAGACTCAGCAAGAACCTTCGACCCTCCCCCTTTCCTGCCTAAGGAAAGTCAGAGAGAAGTCCTGCTTCAGGAAGTAAACCTTAACATACTCACTCTAGAATTTTCACCTTAGCCTAACATGAATTATATATGGTAGACAGGAAAGATGCATGCAAAGGCCTGTTCTGCCGGATTCGCCCCTTAGTCCCATTGTTTTGGGGTTGCCTAGCAGGACTTTGTTTGCCATGTGTTCCACTCTTTCTTGGCTACCTATGAATTGCCTATTGCCCTTAGAAATCCCCAGACCCATGTCCCCCTTTCCTCCTTTATCCAAAATGGCATATAAACCTCAACTGCTGAATGATTCTTAGGATCTCATTATGATACCACGAATGTACATGTGTATAATAAACTTTGAACATTTTGTCCTATTAATCTGTCTCTTAATTTAATTATAAGCCCAGCTAGAAGAATTCAGAAGATGTGAGGAGAAAAAATTTTTATGCTCCACAATATTTTCCCATCCTATTTATGTCAGAACAGATAGTAATTTGTATATCTCTCTGTATCGAGCAGCACTTTATATTAGCATGAAACTAAAATTATACGAATTTAATCTGTAACTAAAAAGTATTCATCTGAAAGCGGGAATTAGAACTAAAGATTCTACAGTATCTGAAACAATGTAATATTTAATATCATTTCAGATCGATTGATGGTGGGATACACTTCTATTCCAAAAGTCACAAAAGAAGATAAAAGAAAGGACCTATTAATTTTGTCTGCCTAGAATACCTCATTGTTTCCAACTACATGTTCTTGGGGCTGCTACTCATAATACTCTACTTCCTGGCCAATGGAGTGGGCACACAGCCTTGCTCTCTTCAAAATATTCAGGGTAGACTAGTAGACAGTCACTATAACTACGTACAGTTGCAGGAAGATGCTAATCTGGTACATTCCTCACCATGTGGAAGAAGTCAGTTTGTAGGAGACTAAAGCAGCCAAGAAAAGAAATACAGAGGAAAGGAGAAAGCAGTGTTCATATCTCTTATTCTAGTAATTCCTAAGCCCCTGCTACATTCCTGCTCTTCTTGCTGTATTATTATGTAAGAGAATAAATTTCCCTTTATGCTTCACCTTGTTTAAATTAGATGTCTGTGCCTTGCACCAAGAGAGGCCTCTGATACTAAAAGATACATCTGAAGTAAAAAGATCTAAAATTGCTAGAATGGAATGTATGATCACTATCAAGTAGAATGATAATGGCATAACAAGCAGATCAAATCATATATATGACGCTGGAGGTATAATGTTTTACTGAGAAAATGCCAAGATTAGAAGCTTTCTTGGATATTGAGAATAATATTCCGAAGTGCATTATTATAAACAGACACACATTCTGTAATTTCCAAATTTTATTTCTCATAATTTACCTAGTTTCAGCACATAATCATGCAATTATGGCAGTAAATGACCTACAAAGGTCATCTAAGTCCATGACACCAGCAATTCTTTCATAACAGAAAAAGATAACATATGTGAACTGAAGTAATTTTCGTATGTAGCACAAGGACTGTTCATAGGATGAGAAACATTTTCCACTTTAAATTACTAATCTGAATGCAAACTCAGGCCAACAATAATTGAAAATGTGAGAAGAATTTCAACACTGCAATAACATAGACAATGTTTAAAGCATAGAAGAAACAATTAAATTCAGGAATTATGGCTCAGATCTAATCAGACCATAATACTAAATCTGTTCTACAATAAATTTTATCCTTACTTGTATATGTACATAAAACCTTCTTGGATAAGGCATGAGGTCCAGAACACACTTTCTTAAACTAAATTCTACACACATGTAGAGGAAAAAAAGTTAAAGTATTCACAAATAATTCACCTTGAAATCATATGCATAAAAATGACATTATTTTCTTACTTGTAAAGCATCAACACTTACTGGGATTTTATTGGATACACAGCATTTTCTTCAGCTTGATTCTGCTGTCTTTATTTTTTTTTAATCTAGAATGACTAGGTAAAAAATGGCCTAGCCATAAGTTAGTTTTGTTTTGATTACACAGAATTTACTGCATGATGATTTAACACATTCTAGAGTCAATCACAATATTCATCGACTAAAGATGTATTCAGGTCCTTTTTACTATTTATAGCACATTACCCTCTTTCACAATTAATATTACCATCAAAGGAGTGGCAAAGTAAGAAAATGCCAAGAAGTGAGAGAATAAGTAAGAAATGAAGATTTACTAGGGACTGAGCTTGAAAGTTTGGTAAAATGATTCCATAATTCAAATCAATACGAGAACTGATAAAAGCATAAGAACAGAGGCTATGACAGTAGATATAAGAATGTTCTTTTCATAATAAAAAGACTTGGAGAAAAACAGGATTATACTCTAATGTGTCAATCACACTTTAATAGTTACTTCTAAATCACCACTAAGATAGAGATTTCTTTGTAGTCACCTTATGCATGTTTTGGGGGGAAAATCCAAGTAAAAACACACAAGTTTACAGAGGGGAAGATATAAATTAAGTGTGGAATCAGAGAACTGGAGACCATATAGAAACAAATAATTAATTCAGCTAAGATTTACTAGGTACTTCCTATGTCAGACCCTGTATGAGACACAGAGGATGCAACAAGAAACAAGGAAAAAATTTCCTGGTCTCATGATGCTTACATTCTAATGACGATATTTAGCCCGGCCAGGTGTGGCTCAGTGGTTGAGCATCGGCCTAGGATCCAGGAAATTGAGGTTCGATTCCCAGTCAGGGCACATGCCCGGGTTGTGGGCTCCCTCCCCAGTCTAGGGTGTGCACGAGGCAGCTGATCAATGATTCTCTCATCAGTGATGTTTCTATCTTTCTCTCTCCCTCTCTCTGAAATCAATAAAGATATATTTTTTAAAAAAGAATAGTCATTTAAAGTAAATTGTTAAAAAAATAAAAAATGAGGGGTGAGGGGAACCACAGCCCAAAGCCATGCAGTGCCTTCCCACTTGCCAAGGACACAGCTACTTAGCATAAACTCAGGCTGCAATTCACTTCTTCTGGGCCTATTCCAGAGACTTTTCAATATATGACAGAGGGGGAAAAACTTGAATAAAAAACCTAAATGATAAGGAAAACCTATCTTAATGTCTACTTACTGGATTACAGAACTGTCAACCAAAACGGAAGGAATTTAATTGAAACAGAGACTGCACCAAATTTTAGAAAATACTTATGCTAAAGGCACTCTGCATTAGACTCTAAAGATGCACTTAATGAGCTAATAGATACTTTATCTTCTCTAATATCTGAAATTCCCGGAATACTTTTATTCAGAGGCCTATTTAATATGAACTAGTGGTTACAGTTCATATCCTAGCACACAAAAAACCCTCTCAACATAATACCACTATCTCAATTTGTATTTTTTGCCTGACTCCAAAGAAAGGCTAGTAACTACATTAGCTAACAGGCTTAACTACAGTATTATCCTCAGTAGATAAAGAAAAATGGCTAAGGTGCTAGGAGTTCGCACATAAAAGGCAGTATTAAGATGCTTCCAGTATCCTGCTTGTCACAAGGAATCTAACACTAGCTCTCTCAAATGGCTAAACATCAATTTCACATGTTTCTAGGCTATTAAGCAGTTTAAAGTAATACATAATTTCATGTTCAATGAAAAATTAATGCCAGACTTCAAAGTTGAAAACAGAAATGGTGAAAGAGAAAGTTGATAGATTTGAAAATTCATCAAAGAAATTACCACATTATGAAATTCTTCCCACTCTACAAATGTCTGCTATCATTTTTTAATCATAATCATAATGATTTAACTTTCTTAAAAACAACTGAGAAAGACTAGATACTTACACCACTGGGAAGGAACTGAGCATACTTTACATGAGGTGAATCAATATCCTTTCTAGAGATGATCAACGTTATTTACCATTCTGTAGAACAAAGACAAAAAAATCCAGAAATATTTGTTAATCAAATAATGAACACAAATTTTAATTATATAACTCAAGGATATTAACATTTAACATCAGCTTAATCACGTCTTTAAAATTATTTTGTAATTTTGAAATGAAACACTGGCTTGAAGTACAATTTCAAAAACAGAAAAATACTAGTGATAGCTTTCAAAATTATTCACTTGGGAAAAGTAATGAAAATCAGACCCTTGAATGTTTTAATCTGTTATCAGACATCACCCTAGAAAGAGCTTTACACACACACACACACGCACGCATGCACTGTAGTGACATTCGAGATAATTCTTTGATAATAACATCAGTGCATTTACGTAGAATCCTATAAACAAAAAACACCACAGCATGATTGCAGCTAAAAGTTTTAACTGTGTGGTAAATTCTGGTGTCTTGTTCCAAGAATATTACTTATTTTACTGCTAGCCAAATGTTCAATGACTTAATATCTTTAAGTTTCAATTTCCCCAACAATCAAACAGGGATAACAGACAACTATTTCAATAAGCTACAAAAAGTTAAAACATTTTCAAAATGGTGGTGATGAAATACTTCACAAACTATCGAGTAGCAGGGGTTATTACCACCAATTTTAAAAATGATGAATACCTACATTCCATTTAGATTACTGAACACAGCACAAGTTAATAATGGAGGAATTGAGTCTAGTACTTTCCATTTCTGCTTAGCATTCTACTACTTTATTCTCCATTCAGACATTGTGACCCCTTTCAATTCAGACATAGATCTTAACAAAAAATGAAATCTATTCATGGTTTAGGAGCTAAAGATCATGTATTACTGACTAAACTTATTAGCAGTTTCAAACCACAATCTACAGAGGCAAATATTTCCATTAACTCCAAGTTAAGATTATAAATTAGATGAAAGTTAAAAATGTTGATGCCAAAAACTCTGACATTAAAATACACATTCAGCACTGAATTACATTAAGCAAGATCAAAGTGTCTAACGGTGACTAATGATATATGTGAAATATACAGGATAAAGTTAGAAACCGTTCACATTTGTGTATCTTAAATTGTAGCTTTAATGAAGTTCCTGTTGTACTTAATTTTCTTGCTGACTTAAGAAATACCTGTCCTAAAAAAGTAGATACAAAGGACAAAGAAATCTACTGATTTCCTAGACAAAACAGCAACACTAAGCCACAAAACTGATTACTGGTCAATACACATTTTTCAGTCCTGCTCAAATTCAGTTAAAACAGTATGGGTAGGTAAGTAGCTACCTACCCTTACATTGGCACAAGGTAATGAGTAAGATATGATCCCAGCAGTGTAGGAGCTTATTACACTATGGGGAAAGATCAAATAAAAAGTAGACACACACACCCCTCTAATAAAAGGCATAACATGAATAGACTAAAAATATAAAGTTTATGAGAGTAACAATTTAGAAATTAATTTAGGTTACAGAGAACCGGGAAAACTTCTCAGAGTGAGATCTCAGCTGTTATCTGAAGATTAGAGTAAGACTTGCACCAAACCAAGGTGTGAAGGAAGATGAGAATCACTGGAAGAAAAATTCCAGAGAGAAAGAACAGTTAAAGGACATTATGGCACATGTTTACAAAATAAAGTAGAACCAAATACCATAAATTAAAGGTAATTAAAAAACTACTATACAAAAATACATTAAGACCAGCTGGGTTCTCAGCAGATTCTTAATCTTTAAAAAAACATAATTCAAATAATATTGAATCATAGAAAAATACAGAAAATGCTCCAATTTATTCTATGAAGTCAAAATAATACCAAATCTCAGAAAGGTAGTACATGAAACATACCATACACCAGTTTCACTTAAATGTAAAAATTCTAAGTGAAAAAAAAAATCAAAAAATCAAATTAGACAATAAAGTCCAGCCACGTATCAAAAATACAGTAACACACTACCATAATTTATTGCAGAAATGGAAGAGTGGTTCAACATAAGCCAATATACCAACATAGTAAAGAGAAAAAAATCATATGATTAATATCAGGTGCTAAAAAGGCATTTGGTAAAATTCAGAGACCATTTTCAATAAAAGCTCTATGGAAAATAATAGAAAAAAAAAAATTAAACCTTTTTGGAAAAAAAGAACAATAGCCAAGTACCCTGAACAGAAAAACACTAGGACTATTTCAAATAAAATTATGATTGTATGCACACACGATAAATATATGTGTTTATAGTAATATGTATGTTATGTATATATCTATATCAAGAACTTGCTTCTATATGGAAATCTGATGATCTATGGAAGGGATCCAACAAGAGTGGTTATGCTGAAAACAGTGTAAAATGGACAGATAAGGGCAGGATAGGAAGGAGACTATTCACAGGAAACTTTTAAAATGATTTTAACCATATAAATGTTATTACTCATTCAATAAATCAAATGAACAAAATTAGAAACTAGAGCAGGAAGCCCACTAAGCAGTTTATAATTCAACACTGACTTGACGATTATAGTAAACATAAATACTGTAATGAAAGAGAAAAAATACCTTTTGCTAATGATTTCACCTAGATTTTACTAAATCTAGGTGATATTGCTAAAATACCTTTTGCTAATTGTTTCACCTAGAAAACTGAAACAATTCTAGTAAAAGAAAACTAAAATTAAAAACATAAATTGAGAGGTGTAATATCATACACTTAAAATTAATAAAAATTTCCCCTAGTTTAGCAGGAAACACCTAAAAAACAATGGGGAAAATATTTCATTCCTGGTAGCTTTTCCCCATATGTACAAATAACTGCATTGAGAAATAAGCCCAATAGATTTTAAAAATTTTAATATAAGATCTTAAAGCTATAAAGGAGAAAGTCAAAGAAGCACCAAGAAAATTGAAAAGGAGTAAAGTGGAGACTTTACTTACTGGATACTGAAATATATTCAAATCAATATGACACTTACATAGGAAGACAGACACAGATGAGTGGAACAGAATAACTAACTTCAATATACAGGGTGGGGCAGAAGTAGGTTTACAGTTGTGAGTACACAAAACACAGTTTATTCTTGTTTTATTATTTATTAATTATTCTATTATTTTCCATATGAACAACTGTAAGCCTACTTTTGACCCACCCTGTATATTCCAGCGCATATGAGAAAATGTACAAGTCAAAGGTAAAATTTTATTTCAGCAGAAAAAGATAATTTATTTTCTAAAATGATCATCACAAAACTAGGTATTATCTAGTAAAAAAAAAAAATTAGATTTTTATCCTACATTATACATAAAAAATAAACCCCAAGTAGAATAAAAACAAGTGTAAAAAGTAACAGCAATACATTCTATAACAAAATTTAGATGANTTCTATATGGAAATCTGATGATCTATGGAAGGGATCCAACAAGAGTGGTTATGCTGAAAACAGTGTAAAATGGACAGATAAGGGCAGGATAGGAAGGAGACTATTCACAGGAAACTTTTAAAATGATTTTAACCATATAAATGTTATTACTCATTCAATAAATCAAATGAACAAAATTAGAAACTAGAGCAGGAAGCCCACTAAGCAGTTTATAATTCAACACTGACTTGACGATTATAGTAAACATAAATACTGTAATGAAAGAGAAAAAATACCTTTTGCTAATGATTTCACCTAGATTTTACTAAATCTAGGTGATATTGCTAAAATACCTTTTGCTAATTGTTTCACCTAGAAAACTGAAACAATTCTAGTAAAAGAAAACTAAAATTAAAAACATAAATTGAGAGGTGTAATATCATACACTTAAAATTAATAAAAATTTCCCC